TTAAGAGGTAAAACTTTCAGAGAATTGTTTTTTATCAATTTGGAACCATTTGAGCACCTTGAAGCAAGGAAATTCGAAAATGACCATTTTAAGGATAACCCTAATATAAATATATATATATATATATATATATATATATATATACATATATATATATATATATATATATATATAAATTAAAAAATCAATCTTTCCCACTGACCTTCTATGTATGACGTACATATGCGAGAACAAGGTGTTCTTATTCTTCATAGGCCTCTGGCAGAATTCGCAATTGAATGGTCCTCGGTCCTTACCATGCTGGTTGTCCATGTGTTTCCTGAAGCTGTCCTCGAGTTTAAAAATTCGCCCGCAGTTCGGCGCTGGACAAGCGAATGTCCTGCCCATTGCCACCATATCTGTTCGTTAGAATATGATCGGTCTGTAAAACTCATCCGAATAGCAAAAAGATTGAAGAAGGAACAAAATTGGAAATGATGATGGTAAAAGTAGAAGGTTAAACCAGATGGTATTTGTTAATTATTGATTCGTGGATTTGGTGGTTGTCTTCATGCTTAAGTTAGTTGGTTACCAACATGCTTTTTCGTGTTAAAGTTGACTATCAAACGCATAAGAAAAATTCTTTTATTTTTGGCGAATGTCCTGAACAAGTATGGTCACAAATTAAGTACTTCGCACACTTTTTTTATCAAAAACGCTGAACCGATTCCAGAACCCATATCGAGACAAACTCGATAAGAACTCGCATTGATTTTATTCGATCGACTATCAGCAAGTTGTTTCTTCATAATTTGCAGATAAGTGCAAAAGTTTTTGAAAACGTCTACGTTAAAATTCCTGAACCGACCTTGAAAATTTCAAATTATTCGTTTAGTAAAGGTAATCGTGCTGGATTTTTTTAACCCAATGATAGAAAAGTTCTACCAAAATAGTGGTAGGAGTTTTATGCTATAAAATCAATTGTTGCGGCATTAATGATTTGAAAGTATACAAATTTGTTGAAAAGCAAAATTAAAAAAAAATACAAAAAATACAATAAATAAAAACAAACAAAAAATGGACGCGACTTTTTGAAAACTTCCATTATAAAGGAGTTCCACCAAAATAGTGTTTGAAACCGTTTTGTTGGAAAAAATTAAAAAAATTACATGAAATACAATAAATAAAAAAACAAAACCAGGACTTTTTAAAAACTTAATTGATAGAGGGAGTTCTACCAAACTAGTGTTTGGAGCCCTTCTGTTGCTCTCAAATCAATTATTGCATCAACAATGATTTGGAAGTAAACAAAAATGCTGGAAAGCCTAAATTTGTACAAACGTGTCAATTACCGATTTAAAATTTAAAAGCATTAATTAATTTTTCACGGTCGAAGTATGAATTCAAATTAAAATAGTACAATATATTAATAATCATGCGCTAATTTTATCATTGATATTTAAATAAACAATCATAAAAATATCAATATAAATAATATTTTATTGTATTTTACAAAATACATATGTTTTGGATACAGTTTTCACTAAGCGTATTTTTAATTATATATGGCGTTATTTATCAGACTATAAGTTTAAACAATTGAAAAATACATTTTTTATATCTTAGGATATAAAAATCAGCTTTATATATATATATATATATATATGAATATATATAGAAATATATATATATATATATAAATATATATAGAAATATATATATATATATATATATATATATATATATATCTACTATTATTATCAAAAAATACAATATGACATGAGAATACAATTCAATAATATTAAGCAAACACATATACTAAGAGAAAAATTAAATTAAAGTCAACATTTCATATTCAAAATCAAAATACTTAAAGCTAATATCTAATAATTTTAAAAATATCGTAAGACCAGATTCCATCGTGTTTTTTTTTTTCAAAAATATACAAACTAATGACTAAGCAAGAAACGTGTAAAATTAAATATATAATCTATTAGTCTTCTTTAATTACAACTTATTGTCATGATATTTTAGAATAATACTATGTTTAATCCTTTCAAATTTAGTCATCAACTAAAAAAAACTTATTTATACTTATAATCTATAACAGAAAATTGTGGCTTTTAAATAATAAAATATACTGTCCAATGGTAATTAAAATAAAAATTTTTTTAGTTTGGGTTATGCTAATTAGTGAATTTAATGAAGAAGTGTCTTATATATAATTTTCTTTGGCAAAGGCCTTGAATAATGCCCAAAATAGTTTGGTTTCTTTCAAAAGATAAAAATATATATAATATATTATTAATAATATATAATATTTTATCCCATACCTATATATTTCGTTGTTTAAATAGAAATGTAAAAACTTCCAATATCAACAAAATTGAGATTTTTTAATTGTGCATCTAGAAATTGGCAGATGCGATTTAGTTATCTAAACAAGTTTTAAAATCATGTAAAGTTTTGATGGTAGCTACTAAATTTCAGCACAAATGTTATTAATTGTAAAAATTAATTTAAATAAATTTCATAATTTAATTTATATCCAATATTGCTCGCGCTGTCTGTTGCATATAATATGAAAATGATTCAAGCTTATTGAATCATTATATCGAATATATAGACTTATTTCACCAATAAGATTAGCAATAAATTCAGTATGAAAATCAAGATAATTTTCATGAGCTGCCGCGGTAAGAATCAAGTATTTGTGAAAAAAATCTTTCAAATTTCGCAATCATCAACTTTTGATGACCAATATTCCCAGTAATGCCAGTTCCTCTACATCCCAGATGTGGACGTAGAAGGATTGGTGGCAGCGGTGGAAGTATTATTCGATCCATTCTTTCCTTTCCTATGTGCCATATAAATATGCACCCTCAACGTATTACTATTTTTATAAACATTTCCGCAAATATCGCATCTTTTAGGTTCCACATTATTGTATCGATGAACATTAAGATCGTGCTCCATGTAGAGATGTGATACCAATCTTCCTTTCATGATGTAGGTCTTGGGACAAATCGGACAATAGAATTCTTTCGAATAGGTGTCATCCAAACAATTCTTGATGGCTTGTTTGAGATGCTCCGCGAGCTTCAGGTCCAGACCTTGCTGGTCATTCGGTCTTGTGCCAACTTGACATACATAAAAAGATAAAGTTTTGTCAAGATCTTTTTGTTTGATTTTATTGTATCAATTGAATAAGGAAAGATATTTAATTTACACATTCTCATCTATACACATTTGTTCAACTGTATACTGCATTCTTTTGTCAATTTAAATAATATTCTGCATAGTAAAGCTACGTCTAGTTTGCAGTCTATAAATGCCTAAATATAAAAACTTATTGAAGTTAATAAACGTGTTCGAAAAAATTGTTCTAAATTTAATAATCTGCAATAGTTTATAACATTATATAATATTAAAGAAATATTTCTCATACTATTTACACATATCGAGATGAGTTTGCGCCACCTACACGTTTTTAACTTCCCGTAGGGTAGTTATAGTAATGGGCCGAAAATCAAAATTAGCATTTTGCAAAAAAATTTGCATTTCTCGACGTTTTGGAGGTTTCTGAACATTTTGGCATACTTTTTGTGTATCCGCATTTTTTCGTCCACGTTTTCGGGCGCACAAATCAACCGATTTGAATAGTTAAAAAAACATTGGATTTCTATTGATAGGAAGATGTGCTGATTAGTTTTTTAGGTAAAGGCAGGTCCAGCCGTTAGAGATACGGAGCAAAGAGTGTAGAAAATAGAAATCGAGTTTTTGAGAGAACGAAGTATCCGATTTGAATGATCTAAAAACATTCAATTTGTAATGATTGGGAGAAATAGTTATTACTTTTTGGCAAAGGCAGGCCCAGCCGGATTGAATGATTCAAAAAACTTTCTGCTTGTGTTGACAAAACAATTGCTTTTGGAAAAAAAAAATCTTTTTTTTTGTGTATATCGAAAATAATTCAGATTTCAATTTTAATTCTGGCTAAAATTTTGAAGGTCACTTATATACTTTAAATAAATATTATACAATGTTACTGTATTTAACTAAAAGTATTATCAAAATATTGAATAAAAGAATTTGTTCATTTTCCAAGTTTATTCAAAAATATACGTTATTTATAATTCAACATTTGGCACCGCGATACAAAAATATCGACTTACATTTATCAAAGACCATTATTCTTTGGTTTAAACAATTTGGTATGTTTTACAAAAATATTCAATACTGGTTATACAAATATTTTTAGTCTTTAATATAATTAGGCGTGTATTTTTGGTGTAAAATAAGAGACCATTTAATTATCTAACAAATATTTGGTATAGATATTAATCTAGAAATTAATAGAATAAATAGTAAAAGCACTTATACTTAATCTTATTTGCTATGATTCTAAATTTGTAAAATTCAAAATGCCTTTTTAGGACAAAAATTAATTAAACAAACGCAAGACAATAATTAAAACATTATATTTTTAACTAACGTGATAAAATTCTGCCTTTTGACGCGTTTCGATTAATTTATTAACTAATATTTATAACAAACGAATAAATATAGATACATTCTATACTTAAAGAAACTTATTCTACAAAAAATGACAACCAATTTGGTACTAGATTTTCAATAAAATATTTGTTTTAATTTTCATGAAAAAATTGTAATATAAATAATAAAAAAAATAATACTTTATGAAAGGTTATACATTCAAAATCAAACTTCTAACGTGTTAATTCTATTTAATAAATAATTTTAGGTTCCCTAAAATAGTAACAAATATAAATTCCCTAAAATATGAAGTAAAAAATATTTAGTGCGAAGTAAATAAAATAAATCAATGCAATTGATCGTCATAAGTTAAAGTGAATAATAAGAAATAAAAAATATAAAGAAAAAAATCACTCCTTATATTTAACTAAAATGATGTAGCGCAAGAAAATCATTCTATTTAAAATTATCACCACAAAAACTTCTTATACATATTCTGCGACAAGCATTACTTTGGAAATACGGTCAAATATGATCATTAAAGTCAAAAACCCCAAATTGATACAATCTTAATCAAGCGACAGAAGTTTGAGACCACGCATTTAAAATTTTAAGGCACATCAGGAAAATACTGTAACTATCAGAATACTTGAATTCAATTGAGTTTAAACTGACGTCTTTGGTTATTATCATAATCCAACTTTTTGTCCAGACAGTTTCATCAATCTTAATATTTCCCATATTACTGTCAGATCACAGTTCAATCATTCTAAAATCCTTTTCAACCGGCCAGCCAGTACTCGTTCCAATCAAGAACTAAGATCATCAACAACGCAAATTGGAGGCAAATTTATGTCCATCAATGAAATATCAGCCACCAATTCGTTTTTAACTTGTCTCGAAGCAGGCCCATGATATTTGGCCATGTGTTTCCTCATGCTTTCATTGTTCTTATAAAATTTCTTGCATGTTACACAAACCAAAGGTTTATTTTCTCCATGGATATTTGCCTCATGCGTCCTAAGATGATCACGTCTTGTGAACTGCTTAAAGCATTTGTTGCATTCGAAACGATATGGGGACGGAATAGAAGTTTTTCCTCCAGTTTTTCCCACTTTGTTGTAGGCGGTCGAGAACACGTCCAGACATCCTGCCAGGGCAATAATATAAATGTCATTTTTTTGGTTTTGAAGATTGGTGTATGCGATTTAACAAGTATGATGATGATTGATATTTAGGTATCGGGTTATTTATTTATAGATTTTCTATGAACTGAGCTCAGCATTCACAGTTAAGATATTAAAATTATATAATGTGTAAACTATTCAAATATTCAAAAATTCAGATGATATGTGTTAGACAAGAAATATTTTTTGGTGCAAATTAGAGTCGTTTTTTTGTTATATAATCTGCAGATATAGTATTCCAACAAATTATACTGTTTCATTAAAATGTTTACACAAATGGATGTGATTGCTAATAGATATCTTAAATTATAACAATCGCTCATTTTTGATTGTAAACGATTAAAAATCACAGAAAAGATTATATTCAAATAGTAGAATAAAACCACAATGAAAGCAAATATAGTCTAGAAACGATAGAGACAACAAGACTACTTTTTTGATTAACAAAAAAGGCCTTTCAAATAATTTGCCTGTTTTCAACGTCATCAATTTCAAAATTATATATAGGTGGTACTCAAATACAATTTACAAAAGAAGAAAAAGAAACTTGAAGTGCAATTTACAAAGCTAGTTGCTATTGCTTTAATAAGTGCAACTAATTAATAAAACTGTTTATTATACTTCTAAAATATATTCTATAAATTTATGTAAACATATATAAAAATAAGATATACTTTATTACACATTGTTTTGTCACAGTATTGTGGCATATAACTAATATTTATACTTTACGTATATTAATTTTAATCTAGTGACTTAAAAGTTTACAGTTAAACAAATGACTATATTCTTAATAATGCATTAATATTTGGGAAAATAAGTTTGGATATATCATTTGGTATTAAATATACTATAGTAAATAAAAATAGCCATTACTACCATTTTATAAAAGAAATTCATTTTGGAAGCATAATGATTAACTAATTAATTGTTATGTTCATTTTTATATCATAAATTTAAGTTTATTGTAAATTTTTTATGAAAATGTAATAGCAACATGATCACTAGTTTTAGAAACAATCTTAAAACTATTCTTAAAATGTTATTTTAAGGAATGCAATAAAATCACAATCGTTTGCACATATTAGTGTCAAGGCATTTTCAAGGCAAAAAGTAAAAATAATTCTATAATAAATCCCTATAACAGGTAATAGAATCTACAGTCATTCCAATAAATCTGGCACTTTTAAATTTGCTACCATATCTTGAGCTCTACTTTTCCTTTCCCGAGCTTCAAGTTCCCTATGTTTCCCTGCGATATGGGTTCTTAAACTATTTTTTCCTTTGAAAACTTTATCACAATATTTGCAAGTAACATTTTTTGCAGGCATATGTCTATCAATCATGTGTCTTCTGTAGCTTGTCTTGCGCATGGAACGACCACAGAGTAAACAAGTAACTGAAAAAACAATTTGATAAAAAATAATTGCAGAAATGCTGCATGCATTAAATAAATATAAACTATATAGCATAAATAAAATAATAAAACATTCATAATTCAGCAATTGTTTACTAATAATTCACTCAGAAATCAGCTCTGAATAATTAAATGATTAACAAATAAATATTTTCAAAGCGTGCTTGAGATTTTCAAATTAGAAAACAAATAAAAAAGCTTACAATAAATATGATAACATAGAACTAAATAATGGTTAGTGCAAACGTAATATAATATATATATTATTTAAAAACATCAAATTATACTTACCAAATGATTTCCAAGAACAATCACAAAATGTACACTGATATGAAAATTATAAATGCAACACAAAAATGCAAGTAATTGCACATACACAAAAAGCAAATTATAACTTATATAATTAAAACTTACAAAGCATATTCACAAACAAGACTAGCCAATAAATTATAAAATAAAATTATGACTGTACTTACCTATTATATATTAAATTATTCGGGATAATCACGTTTGACACTAACCACTATTATAAATTCACTGATTAATCAACATTTTATTGATAAAAATCCGCGCACTTTGAAATATTTATTCATCCTATGCAAAAATATGAAACTCATTGAAAAAACACAAAAATTGTATATACTGAGTCGTATGAGAAATGTAAATAATTTTATGAATTTTCATTAATGAATAATTCAAATCAATCATTTATGTATGTTAAAAATACACTTCTTAAAGATATATTGCTATTATATATATAATATAAATATTTACATACACATCATGAAATAAAATTATTCTACATGTTATGCATACACATTTTTCATTACCATCGACACAAAATATATTTATATGCTGCAAGAATTTCACCAAACTAAAGAGTAAGATTTTTGAATAAGAGTAAATCTATATATTCAACTCAATTAGCAAAATAAACAATTTCAATTAGATTTAATATCGGACATTTAATATGTCAAGAGTTCACACCTTTATAAATCCACAATTTTCAGTCATAATTTTTTTTTGTAAATTGATGTTATGATGGTTTATTATGAACTAAATTAAAAATTTCATAAAATATGGAATTTTTGAAAACATGGTGAGCAGAATCCAGGTTGATGTTCACAATCAAAACAGTAACTTGTGACACGTCTGGAATTGTGATGTGCATCTTTGTACGTTAGTGTCTTTCGTAGATCAGTATAACAACCCAAACACATTCGAATTTTCTTTCTACCTCTGCCCTCAGGTTTGATAAATTTGTGTCCGATTACATTATTTCTTGCAAAATGTGTTAGCCCTGCCAATGTATTTTTAACAAGAATGAGGATCAAGGAAATCTCTTGTTGTAAACATTTAACAATGATAATTTTAGAATAAAATTTCAACTACAACAAATAATAGATAAAAAGCAATTCAGCAAACGTCTATTTAACATCAACTAACCAATTAAATGCTACAAATCTTGAATATTTTGTAAATAGTGAGAAGACGATTCTGAGAAAATAATTATGAATTTAAAATGTAAACATTAATAATTGTAATAGACCTATCATATTAATCCTCATTTAGTGATATGCCAAACCAACACAACTCCAACCATCGAAAATTTAAACATTTACCATATAATTGAAAAGTGCCACATGGATAGAGAAAATTGCATATTTGATATAACTTGCTTGTTTTAAAAGTTATCATTAAATACGTAAAGACCTCTTTGCAGCCCTATCTTTACAAAAAAGATAATTTGTCCCTAAGCTTTCAACATTCTAAGTACAAGTGTATGCATAACATAGTAGCAAAACAACATTAAATAAATAGAAAAGCTAAAAATATTTACCGTGATCTAGTAGTTGACTCGAATCTTGAAGAACCGATGATGCCAAAGGTGACATGCCGGATGAAGCCATATTCATATCTTTCTGTGCACTTTCCATAATTTGTGTAAAATCTCCCATGCTAGATGATTCATAATCCTCACTGACAAATAATAAATTAAATAAAAACAATGCCAAAAAATATAATTAATTGAAATAATATAATTTGTATTTAACAATTACTTACTCCATAAAATTAGGTTCAGTCTTTGGTATGAAGGTCATATCAGTAGGTTCAACAAGTGCATTTTCTTCAGGTTTGTTTGCTACTTTAAGTCTTTTCGTTTCAGAATTAGCTGGTGGAGAAACCACCGGTCTCTTTGGTGCATCATTTTGTAAATTTGATGAACTATTTATAGTTGAAGTGTCATTTTTTTGTTTATCTTGATACATGTATTGTGTTAATGATTCTGATGTATTGTCTTTTTCATTTGTTGCATCTGGTTTTGGATTATCATTCTAGAAAAGCCAAAAGGTAAATGAAAGTGAAATTGAGGTATAATTGATGATATTTTATCTCAATGCAAAAAGTGTAAACTCACCGACGATTCATCTTCTGTGAGACCCTTAATTTGCAATAGCTCTGCAGTTTTTAGAAAATTTGCTAAATTTTCTTGTCGTACGTTAACTTCCCCTTGGTACATAAACAATAAAATATCGGACATATCACTATAAGCAACCCCTTTTAATATTATTATAGGATGCTTATCAGGATGAATCTACAAGAAGTAATATATAAAGTAATAAGCACCATGAAATTTTAAAAATAGAATTTTGTGTAAGTATAAAGCAAACCTTGAACATTTGTTTGAAATAAGGACTGCATACTGACAAAACTAATTTATGTGCTTGTAGAAATTTTCCTTCCACAGCAAATGTTACATCAACTAAATCTTCTCCACGTAAAAGGGCATGAAATCCACTAGTCAGGTTAGAGTGAAAATTATTCCATTTTAATGAGAATTGTTCGGCGTCCATTTTTATTCACAAACCTTCAGAGGAAAAAATTAAATACAAAATGAATATTTTTGTAATTGAATAATATGTGTTATGTGAAATTCCTATTGTTATTAATAAATTTTATACGATATAAAAAAGTATATACCTATATCTGAGTTACAAATAAAATTAATGCACTGACGTAGCGTTTTGTAATACTCAATTACAAAATAAACGTATACACTTCTTATTTTAGTTAAAACACTAATACGAAAAGCACTTATCTCACATGTTAAACTGTATTCTGAATTAAATCATCACAAATCACAATAATTTTGAAATAATGATTGTCTATTTATAAATAAAACTAATTTTCTACCATGATGCTAAAAACACATTACGTTTTTGTGATAGTAAATACCAACCTTGCAGTACTAACAAAGTTATGAACTTGTTCCAACAGACAAAAAGACCGAATGACCAAAAGAGCTAATTTTATATTTTTTAGATTATTTAAAGTAAAGACTTTTATTTAAATCATAGTAATTACATTTATGTCTTTTAAAAATCTAAATGTTAAATCTAAAAATCGAAATGTTATTAAGTTTGCAAACAACTTCACGTCTCAAAATGTCGCCCCTCACATGACAAAGGGTGCCAATAGTAGACAGTAGACTGATTAATGTTTTTATTTAAATTCAGAATTTGAATTTACATTTTATTTAATGTGATTAAGTTATAAATATAACAAGAACAATAAGTAACTAATTTACGAAATTGATCATTCAGTTAGTGGCTGTGCCTGAAAACAATAGGACTTGCTTTAAATATTTAATTAATTGGAAAACACCTACATGTCAAATCGTAAGAACAGTCAAAATTATTTATACTCACATATAATGAAGAATTAGACATATCTCATTGTTTTATACCAATATTGACTTACTATTTCAATAATGTTCATGAAAATGAGACGAAGAAGCAACATCATTCCTCGTACTACAAGTGATTTAGTAGCTACATCATTCCTAGCAATTATGATACCCATTATATATTATTTTGAATTGTGGGTAGTTTTACCATCAGTGCATAATCCTGGAACACTTATGCATGGTATACATTTTGCTCTTGGATCATTTTTATTGTACAATGTAACAAGCAATTTTTTGGCAGTAATTCTATGCGATACTAGCCTCAAAGGAGTAATTCTATCTCCTGATGATAGCAAATCTCGAAGATTCTGTGCATCTTGTGAGTGCTTTGCACCACCCAGATCTTGGCACTGTAACATTTGTAAAACTTGTATTCTTAAAAGGGACCATCACTGTGTATTCACAGGCTGCTGTATAGGACATAGGAATCACAGATTCTTTTTTTATTTGGTATTGTATATGTTCATTGCAACATCTTATGCGACATATTACAACACCTTTTTTGTACTAGAACGAGTAAGCTTTAGAAGCTGGTGGGATATCTCAAAAATTATATTTCCATTTGCAATGCTCGCTGTATATCCTTCTGCAGAGCAAATATATTTAGCATTATTTCAATTAACAATAATTGGGCTGGCCTTGACTGCAATCTTGTTTGCATACCATTTCAATCTACTGAAGAATGGAACAGTCGTGTATGAAAGAAAAAGCAGACTGTATGACTTTGGATTTAAAAAGAATTTGCACACCGTTTTTGGTGAACGGTGGTATTTGACATGGATCTCTCCAACTATTGAAAGTTATTTACCTCATGACGGTATTCATTGGGATGTAAAAAGTACTAATAAAGGAAAATAAGACAAATTTTGAAAATATATTTAATTAAACTTATGCATGCAGGGTATTACATACAATTGAGTATCAGGGAAACTTTGTTAAAATATACATTTTTCTTACATATTAAGACTATATATCAAATTATTATTAAAATTATATTTTTATATTTATTTACAAATTTTTAATGAAACTTAGAGACAGGGAATAACCACTTCACTATATGTTGCTCAAAAAGTAACATCTATATTGGCAAAAGAAATTGTAACTAAATTAAAGATTGTGATAGGTCAAACTTAATACAATTGTGGACTATTAATATTTATGTATAAATTCTCTTCAAAATATTTCATTATAAAGTATTTTTATAATACATAAACTTAAAGTTTGTATTTTATTTGCAAATGTTTTATGAAATATTGCCTAATCATAACTACTTAATGTCACATTAATAAATGTACAATTTATTCTTATATATCGATATAATGAGAAATGCATCTAAAATGATGGTCATATGAATTATCTTATAATTAATGAAATAAGAAGGCTAAGAATATTTATGCATTTGTGGAAATGAACTTAGCAGACTAGTCAAATGAATGTACAATATTAGTTTTTAATTAGATTTTGCATTTATATAAATGAATTTATAGTTTTTAAGATATATTTTGTATTTACTAAGGTTTTGTAAATTCAAATAAATGTGCATATATAAAATTATGAAATTGCAGTATGAATGAATTATATATTATATTTATCCAGTGATCAATTTTTTTAAATTAGCTTAAGATTAATTACCAAATTAAATAAAGTACTTGAGATGAACTGTATGATCTACTTTACTTCATCAATTATATCTTCACCTACTGGAATTAAAAAACAGCTTCTTCCTCACTATTTGAAGGAGGTGCTGTCATCATTCTTGGTCCGGATTGAAAACTTCTTCTTGGTTGCAAAATCATCAGTTCTCTGAGTAACATTGCTTTTTCTCGTTCCAAACTTGTAACAGCTGCACTTTTTCTGCTCACTTCTTCTGTGAGTTGCCTATTTTGTCGTTTCAGCCTTTCCAAAAGTAGTTTTTGTTGTTCTTGTGCTCGCGGTGACTACAATTGTGATAATTTAATATTAGAAAACTAATTGGCAAATATATAATATAGTAAAAATTACCATTTCAATCTGTGATTTCGTCAATTCTAAGTCCATGTGCAGTGGAACTGCTCCTCTTTCCCAAGTTTTAACTAAAGCTTCTAAATGCCGATTTGCTTCCATCACACGAGCCTGCTGCATCTCCAATCGTTCCTGATGCGATTCACTCCATTGTTCCTGATAAAAATAAAATAATCAGGTTTTCTAAACATTTGCCTTAAAATTAGTTCGGCAAGATATAGTTTCCTGAATTACCACTCTAGCTCCTGCCCTCCCCAACCAGCGCATTCCATCCTGGACAGCAGCCACTCTTTCCCTATACCATTCTCTGGCTGCATCGACGGCTTCCAGGCCCCTCAAGAGCAAAGAACGTTCCTGCTCCAATTGCTTAAGGCGTCTTAAGGCAGCATGGTCGATTCCGCTCTGCAAAGTGTGACGACGTGGTTCTCTTCGTTTCCTACCACCTTCTTGGGTATTTTTTATGAAATAGCCAGCAGTGGTGGATGTCTGCAAAAAAGAAACTTGATAAAAAATTTATTATTATTAGCCACATTGGATTGGGCTTTAGAAATAATAGAGTGAAGATAATGATGGTGGTTAAAGGATAACCATGAAAGTCTTTGTTTTAAATCCCTTTCAGACTGTTTTGCTATTAATCATCGTATATTATCTCTGGTGATTATTCTCATTTATACAATATTGCAACTTAAAAATTTTGATTCCACAAACATGTTTACCTTACTTTTTCGAGTCAACAAATACATATGGTCGCGACAACAAAACATTAATAACAATCCTAAAATAAGAAAAAACAATTTACTGGCGTCTCAGACATCTGTAGATATGTAAATTTAAGAACCGGATACAAAATGACCTTGTTGCATTTATTATGACATCAAGAGACGAACGGTTCCAGGTTTTAGGTCAACGTTTTCTTGTAGGTTTGATATGGTGAGAGATAAATGGCTTAATTTGTCTTTTCTATATATAAAATTATTTACCAAAATTGAATAAGTAAGAACTAACCTGTTGATCTGTTTGTCCATCACCAAGACCTCTATTTCTCAATGGATCTTTACTAGCTATTATATCATCACTGGCAAAACCAAAATTATTTTGGTTGTTTGCAGTTACTAATAAACCTTTATGCCAATTGTGTAAAGCGTTGCGTATACCTAGAAAAATAAATAAAAATATAAAATTTTAGCCAATTATGGACAAATAAATGCAACTCGCCTACAGTAAATAAATTTAGCTTTTGTATATACAAATATTTCCACGTCAAATTTTTCCTAACAGTAAGAGAGATCTACTTCACTACCAAAAAGATATACTTGACGTCCAACCTATTAAAATAACAATATTGTACTTTTGTTACTTTATTATAATTTATTAAAACTCTCCTTCGATAATTCAGGTTGTTGGGTTATAATTTAACCCTTGTAGCTGTGGACTGTATTAAACACTGAATGTATTTGTTTCAGTTCTAATTACAATCAATGATTTGTTACTAAGTTATAATTAAAGAAGATATATTTATTTTTATTGGTTATTTACATGTTGTTTCGCGGACTTTACTTTTTGAAGTGAACAACTAGTTCAATTAAAACACTCTGCTACCCCTTCTACCAGGGGTAGCAACCATTCCGTGTAAAGCTTAATGCCCTGAAGTTTGTCACCTTCATGGCCAATATAATTAAACGAAAAGACGTCCGAACAATATATTACCCCCTCTACCTGCTTTATCCAGTTTCTGCTGATCCTTCTCCGGCCTGATAGGTTGCACCTTGGTTTGGACAACTGCACCAGGTCTGTTATGGATTTGCAATTGAGGTAAACTCAATGCCCTGTGTTGGGCAATGGTGTTCGGCGTTTCCAAAGGTCGAACCATGACGGAAGTAGTCGGGTTTTTCAAAGCGGATGTGGAGTGGTGAGACTGCATACCGCGCCATTGAGATTTGCTGTTGGATTTGTTTATTTTCGAATGATAATGAACTAGGTAGAAACCAGAATTACTATAACAACTTATATATAAACATGTTATAGTTAAATAAAAGTTGAGACCACCGGTTGAAGATGCAAATAGTGATGCATAAAATCAACAGATTAACCAAGGAGATAAATAACAGATTTTCATACAGAAAAAATATGAAAAGCGATTCACTTAAGAAGATTTTTAGAATCAGTAGAATTTGTCAACACGTCCGAAGTGTTATAAATCCAAAATACCCTAAAACTTCATCTATTTTAATAAAATTTTATTTCGAGTTTATTTTACTTAAAATTTTGCTATTAAAATAAGATGTATGATAAATCTCAAAAGTCTTTTTTAAATGTTAATTTTTATGATATCACAATTTTTTTATTACGATTTTGCTCTATAGAATTGTAAAAATTTTTGCAATAAGAAGTTTATATAAAAGTTAAAGAATTCACATAAAAATTTACACTGAACAATAACTAGCCGTAAATAATTAAAATTGCAACATTGTTGATGGTTTGTCAGTTTTTCACTAAATTGATTGTCTTTATGTGCTGAAGATGATCCAAAACTTACGTTTTTTCTCTATTTAATAATTATATTGGTATATATTTTAAAAAATGTTATACACTCAAATACTTCACAAAAAGAAGTTTTTCATTATCACAAAAACTATAAAATTGTGAATGTGTTATTCATTGGAGCATTGCTCGTTATTTCTGATTTCTATATAAAAAACTTTATTATGAATTTATATATCGATTTAATTAATTTTTACAAATAATTCTTTAGGTTTATTAACCTCCCGTAGGATAAGTTATTGTAATCGTCAAAAAATCAAAATTGACAATTTTTACATTTCTTCACGTTTTGAAGGTTTCTGAACATTTTGGCATACCTATTAGAAAAAATGGATGTATGTCTGTGTGTGTGTGTAGTTTGTGTGTGTGTGCAGATACAAATTTTCGTCGACGATTTCGGGACCGATTCAACCGATTTGAATAATTCCAAATCATTCGATTCGTATTGATAAGGTGACGTGCTGATTAGTTTTTGGCGACGGTTACATCAGATTTTAAGAGAACGGAGCGTCCGATTTTAATAATTCAAAAAACATTTTATTTGTATTGACAAGATGAAGAACTGAAATAAAATTTGAGAAGGCAGGTCCAGCGTTATGGACTGTCAATGAAAATAAGTTAAAAAAATGTCATTTGGCGGAAAAATGTTTATTGAACATATGTACATCAAATTATCAGATATTTTATAGAGATTTTAATAATGTGTACATATTTTGTGTATTTTTTTTTTGGTTCCGTACCAAGATTTTTAATTACGGTACGGAAATTTCCAGAAATTTGCCTTAAGGTACGATGCCATACACCCCACTAGTTAAATATTATTTCGAATAAGAAAGTTACGTTTTACATACAGTCTTACATAATAAGAAAATTTCTTACGTTCTACATGTTCGGCTGCATGATGAAATAACCAGTACTATATTTATTAAAAATCTCGAAATGCCAATACACAACCTCGGTTATTAAAATTTACCAATCGGTCATTTTAATATCAATTGGGTTTTGCAATATTTTAGTTCCAAAATATTTTGTTTTTATTGCAGCTTTTCAATTAATTAATAGTAATCAACAAAGAAGTTTTTGAGCAAAAGGATATGGTTAGAGAAATCTCTATAACATTCAGATACTGTAGTTTTATTCATCAACCATTTTTTATTAATCTAATTTTAATTTGTTACTGCCAATCCTAGCCATATCCTTGCCAATTTTTATTTGACACAGTTCAAGAAAACCATCATAATTTAAGGTTGTTCATGCAGATAGTACTATTGATGTGAGTTAATTTAAACCAGGATGGTTTTGCTTTAAAGCAAATTTAGTTAATTTATAAGTGGTTAATTTATAAACCAGCAATCTTCAGAATTTTTCTTTTATAATTAAAAAAAATATTACTACTAATTTCTGATCTAATTACCTTAT